GAGTTTTGGAAGCCATGCGTGATTTTTTGCCGAAGAATGAGGAAAATCAGTGTGAAAGGCGATAAAGTGGAAGCACCCCCAGCCTGCACCAACAACAGACGAGAGCACAGGGCTGATCCCAGAGGAAGAAGCTGGACAGGGAGATCAAGCAGCGGTCTCTCCTCAAAGTTTTCCGATCGGCGCCAATGTCCGGATCCATGTGTCGCTTGAAGCGGAAATTCGATGGTCAGCTAGCAGAAGTCGAATCGGTTGGCCAGAAATTCGTTAAACTCAGAATGTTGACAGGCCCAGGTGTGACTGAGACAAAGCAGTTCCTGCCAACGTGCATGAAGATTGAAGATCCAGTAAAGGCTGCTGAAACAGAAAAGCATCAGCAGCGCCCACGGCTGCTCAAAGAGCGGAAGCCTCGTTTGGCAAGTGCGACGATATTTAGAGATGTAGAGATCGAGAGATATTATATGGCCCCCTTGTTTCAAGACCAGTCAGGCGGGGGAAAGGATTAAGGGCTTGAAGACGGTTTTGGGCGCCTACCCGAAAATACGCCCAATTTGGGTATTTGTTTTGCTCTGCTGACAAGGGAGGGCGGAGCAGAGAGTGTAAGAGGAATGAAAGCCATAATGGTCAGTGGAGCTTACGGTTGTGCTTGCATGGCTTTACCTCCTAATGCGTTGTCGATATGTTGTGGGTTTCCATTGTGTTTATGGTTGTGGGCTTATGGTTATTACACTTAGGATTGGATACCGATTTTGCAACATTTTAACACATTGTTCATATTGAGGCAGAAGACACAAGGTAGAAAGATCGTAATTACCCGTGGAGAAGCGCTGTAAAGTGCATTAGGTGTCTTTGCAAATCCTGAACGGTGCTCATTTTTCAGCGCAGGTCGGTTTAACTATGATCCATTTCTCGCCTTATGTTTCCAGGGTTATTATGTGTGTAATGGTGTTTGTGACCACTTTTTGCCCTAGATAGAACACATGAAACTACTTACTTAAATCATTTACCTACGTAAAACACAAAGGCCTGCGGCCCTTTGCACGAAAGCCAGCCTTTTGTGGGCCCTTTAAGGGAAGGCACTAGTTAGCAATGTACTCATTTTGTGAATGAAGAGAGAAGGGCAATGGTTTAAATTTGGGCGCTTAGCTGGCTTTTGCATTCCTTTATTGAAGTATAAGTCGGGCCGTTAAGGGCAAAATATATTGGGGGGGACGCAAAAGGACACTAAACGACGCTAATTAACATTGGTAAACGCTAATCTTCGCCCCCAAGAGTTTACGCCTAACTTTTGGTTTTCTTGGGTTCTGTTCTTCTTGAGTAGGGGGACGGCAAAAAAAAAGGCTTTGCTTCGCTACCATGCCAAGGGTTGTAAACTACAACCAACTTCAGAGACGTAGAAGCTGGGGCTGTCAAGGGCTGATTCCCGAATGGGCTCCCCACCCCCTCCCAAGGCCACTGGGGCTGACTATAGCGACCCAGGCCTTTTAGGGTCTCCTCTTTGCGTGTCAGGTATCTTTTGCCTGTCGCTTACATGACAACTGGGAAAAAACGCTTGACCGCTTGTTTGCCTCTCAGGTTTGACCATACCTCGCATAGCATGTTGGCCTCAAGAACCCTTCTGAGGTGATGTGTTTCTTTAGGGGCCCCATTCTTTGGGTGGGTTTAAAATGGGTTTTGAAAGGAAACACAAGCAAGGCCGTTGCAATGATCCCCCGAGTTTGACGAGCCCAGATATCAATGGGGGGTCCCGGTCACCCAAGAAAAGAGGCAAAGACCCGCTAAGGGACCCACTGATTCACAGACCGGTTATTGCTCAGCTGGCATGATCCGGTTTCTCCAAATTGCGACCCGACTTTTGGTACGGCGAAGCCCCAGTTGATGAGTAGTGGCGTGTCCTTTTATTGCGGAAACTCATTTCAAGGGAAACACCTCCCTGTCAACACAGCAAGTTGACGAATCCGTGGTTTACATTAAGTCACAGATGAGCAACTTGCTGTAGGTTTCTTTGAGCAACCCTCAAGTGGCTATGAATTTCAAGGTTTGATCCAAGTTTCGCCCGCTCGAACAAACACGATCCGAGGCTGATCCAGCCCTTACACAACTTTTGCACTGGGCTCCCTGGATGAATTGTGCCTTTGTGGCAATCTGGTTGGATCTTTGAACTTTAAACATTTTTTTGGGGAAGCAGCGAAACGTCAAATTTGGTTCAGCGGGGTCAGCAACCGAGTTGCAAGCTGGTGGTTGGAAGAGGGAGCGGTTTTGGAGCCACCACGAGTTCTGGTCGGGGCATGGCTGTGCACATTTTAAGGTTCACTGGATTTGGACCACACGCAAACATCGAATTTTACTTTTTGGGTTCGGCGGGCGCGGGGAGGGGGGGGGGTTCAGTTGAGCAAGTAAACCAAGCCATACGAAAAGCCGCAAAAACATGGTAAATCACAGTTGACAAGACAGGGCTGCTTAAATGATACATTTTGCCCATTTGAAACATGTTGCTTTTTCCACCAAAATAAAGGGAAACCACCATTTACAAGGCAATGTTCAGGTGTATAATGTAAGGATCCCTGCAAGACCGGGGTCATTTTGTTCACTGTTTCTGGGGGATATCAAAGTCAGCAGCTTGGGCGGTTCCTTGACATTCTGAAATGATGGGGCCAGTTGAAGAGGGCTTCAACCTGTTCCCTTGCTCGCACTACTGTGGATGGTTGCGAAATCCATTTCGCACCACCTAAAAAACCTTGGCTTCCGATGATTCTCCTGCAAAAACCAACGAACAATGGTTTCCTATGGTTTCATAGTGGTGCGAAGGGATTTCGTCCATCCACAGTATGGCGAGCGGGAAATGCATCCACCGCAACTCGAACTCGTGCTCCGCCCGAGCGGCCTTCTTGAGCCATCAGGAGTTCCGGAAGGCACGCCAGCGTCTCTCCAAGGAGTTCCAGATGCCGGACGAGTTCTGAGCGAGAGATGGCCATGGTTCAAAACCAATGGGATCCCATTTTGGGGTAGGTGCACCACCCATTTTAGACCCTATTTTAGTGGTTGGATTGGTTGATGTTCACTGGGGGTACGATTTGGATTTTGACCCATGGCCAGATCAGACTTCGCCAAAGACCCGCGCTCTCCGCGGCCAAAAAAAACGAAATATCCACAGGACGCGGCTTAAACTTAAGGGTCTCGATTTCGGCAGCTCACCAACCATTCCCTGCATCGATTTGCGGTTGAAAGGGTTTGGTATCGGTGGCATTCAGCATGTGTCGCAAGGGCGACGAGAAGATCCCACTCCAAATCCAATGCCGTTTCTTTTTTCAGGCATATTTTGCGAAGACACACAAATGGCATTTCTTTTTTTCAGGCATATTTTTGCGAAGACACACCCACACACACACACACACGTACACTTGTTACTCCGGGGTGGGTCAGCCCGTGGACACGCCCCGGGGCTTGCCTGTTCAAGTGCGGTTACCGAAAAGAAGGGTTTCTGTGCTCCCCTGTTGATTCTAAAGAGAATCGATTTCACTACTGGAAACAACTGCCAACATGTTTTTCCAATGCACGAAAAAGCACATGGAGGGAAATGGCTTTTTCACTAAACATACAAACGATTAGATGTGTTGTTTAGGGGGGAAGGGCAACCCGGTCTAGGGTGGCTTCTTTGAACACGTGACGTGAACCATGGTTTCAAAGTGGTGCAGGATGTTGTCCATCATTCTAGAAATTGGTTCTAGGGTTTGGCGTATGATTCCATCAATTCTAGGAATAATTCCGCAATTTCAAAGTGGTGCGAGTATCATGATTCCAGGAATTGATTCCAACCATTTCATTCAACCATTCTTTTCAAGCACCAGCGAATCTTAAAGCAAAGATAAAGAACCACCTTCCTGTTAGAAACATGAGATCTTGGGCAGGGTTGTTCTCGAGTCTGAAGCTGATGTTCAAGCAGCGTGGCGGTTCCCACCCCATTCGGTTCCTTGGCTTTTTTTGGCTGTTTTCAGAGTGGGGGTTTCCATTTCACCCAGTAACAGTTCAGACACCAACCTTCTTGTGGCTTTTTACCCGCGAACAAGGTTCACCCCACATTCTCTGGTTTCAACTGCTCGTTTTGGATCCGTCAAAAGTTCAGAAACCAACCTTCTGAGTGGTGGGCTGCAAGTTAAACGTTTAGCAGAAAATCTGAGGACAGGTTTCTCTCGTTTCAACCGCTCATTTTGGATTATCCCGACCCCTTTTGCTTCTCGGACTAAGTCTCAAAGTTCTTGGCTTGTTTTGCTTCGGGAAATCGCGGATGCTCCCGAGGGCTTCTTCCCCCATTTGTGCCGCATCCCCAAAAACCACACATGCCACACCAGGCGTGCCGTGTTTTTCCGACTCGGAACATTGGCAGGTGTCACAGCAACTGAAACTCGAGCTTTAGCCACTGTGGGTGTTTTAAACTAGGGCCCCTAAATGCCAAATGGGTGTGTCTTTTTTTTTAGGGCACCCTTTTTACTGTGGTGTTAAAGGGACACAAGGAAATCCACCTCTTTTTGGGGGGGGGGCTCTGACAAAAGACACAGCCAAATGGGTGCTCGGATTTTCGGCCAAGTTAGCAAGTGACTAACCACTTGTGGTTGTTTACGCCCTAACAAGGTTCACCCCACATTCACGAGAATATTTTAAGTGGGGTATAACCGAACGGTTACCGTGACAACTTAGGGAACACCCAAAGGGTTTCCGTTTAATCCACAGGTGTCCTTTTTGGTTGGTTTGGTTGAAGAATCGCGGGCCCTAGTTTATCTGGCGGTTCAATCATCTACCAGCGAAACCCATCTATTTTCAAAAAAAAAGGACACCAATGGTAACGCCCCCCCCCCCCTCATGTGCATGTGATGGACACAAATCGGGTCTATTTTGCACTCAGAGTATTGGTTTTCCTCCCGCTTAATTGGTTTTTTGGGGTTCCAGGCTGCGACATCGACTTTTGCAACCATCTCAGAATCTCACGATTTCTCACCGTCACCGAGGTGCCGGGGAACTTCCTCACGCCTCTCAACGGGCAGGGCAGCCCGTCGCGTCGCGAGCGGCGCGCGCCTTTGCTGTGTTGCGCGTGCTCTTGGGTCGCAACAGACACCATGGGCTTGTCTTTTTTTGAGGGTAATGTTGACCCCGGGTGTAGTGGGGTTCACTTTTGAAAACACCCCTAATAGTATTAAATTGGGGTTGATTAATATGGGGTTACTATTACTCCTTTTGGGGGTTGATTTTGAAGGAGGATTAGAGGGAACCCACCATTTTTGAGGGGTCGCCTATTTTGAGACACACCCAAATGGGTGGTGTCTCAAACGCGGGGAACCTCCAACACTGGGTACTTTCAAAAAGACGCGCCACCCCAAATTCTCAGATATCCCCCCCACACACACACACAGATTATATATATATATATATTATATATTTATATAATACATACATGTGTCATATACCCCCTACTCCAAACGGCTTTGTCGTAGGGCACCTCGACAAATCGTGTTTTTTTGTTTCCTTTTCGTTCTCCCTAAGGTTTGGCTTTTTTGGCAAATCCGCAGGTTGGCCGGGGATGAGTTTTCTTACATGCAAGTGGTGGTGCAATTCCCCCCATTTAGGGATGTCTTTGTAGGGAACCTTCCAAAATTGTGGTTTTCCTCTTGGTTTTCATTTAATACCACCAACAAATAGGGTACCATCAAAACAAGACAGAACCATTTGGGTGGAATGTTATCCGTTCTACCCTCATCTACCGGAATTTGTGCCCTGGACTTTCACCCTGGGATGCTTGGGGAAGATTGAACATAATTGAATGTTTTAGGGAAGCTGTTTCGGGTTGGTTTGAAAGGAAGGCAACTGGGTTGTCTGGAGAAGCGTCCGAGCCGTGCCATTCTTTTCTGGGGAGGAGGCGGGGGTTGGTACATTTGAGGGTGTCTTTTCAAAGGGAAACTCCCAAACTGCTGTGTTTCCTCTTGGTTTAATGGTTTTTGTTGGTCTTGTTTCGTTTTTCCTGGTGCGATAGGCAGGGAATGAGAAATGGAACCCCCATCCAACGGGTGGTTTCCTCTAAGAGAATCCCCGGTTCATTCCAACTCAGTCCCTACCGAGCACCAAGTTTTGGGGGCAGTGATGAGGGCTGTGCAGGTTCAAATTTCCAACAGAGCAGGGAATTTCAACACACTCCTATAGTCAAGACTCGAGATCATTTGTCGAGTTCGGGGTCCATCCCCAAGGAATGAACATGAGCCATGGGGGTAGGGGCTGAAAGGAAAACCCACAACCTTGGGGGCCAAATCCCTACTTGGATGTTCGGCCAAGTTAGCAAGTGGCGAGCCGAGCACTCATAAGTGGGTTACCAACAACTTACTAACTTGGCCGAGCACCCAAGCAACACCAAAAGGAACAACACCAGCTTGGTGAAAGATCCTTCTTGCTTCCCTTGTTCAACCTCCCCTACCCATGAAAGATACCCTCCCACCCTTTTCACATGAAACCGTTCGACGTTCGGGGCTCCTGGTTTGGACCATTTTCCTTTTAAAGGCACCGGAGACCCCAAAACGGTTCGATCTGTTCCACGTGAAAATGGGTGGAGAGGGTACCCCCAAAACAGGTGGGCGCCCACGTGCAAAGCCCGCCACCCGCCGTGGCCTTGGCCCCGACTTTGGTCGAATCGCTGAGGTCCATGCCCTGGTTCCCGACCATCGAGTTTGCCCCTTGGCTCAGATCCGGGCGGTTTGGTTCGATAGGCAGGGAATGAGACATGGAAAGGAACCTCAACCATCCAACTGCTGGCTTCCTTTATTCGGAAGTCCCCTGCCGGTTCATTCCCAAAACATGGATCATTCCCTGCCTACCGCACCAGCAGGTTGCTCAGTTTTGCCGGCTGACGGGCTTCTCTGACTCCCCATTGAGTTCCGGGACTCGGACTTGAGAGAGTCACTTTGTCACCACAAAGTGGGGCCACTTTTTTTCCGGTTTTTCTCTGATGGCTGACGGCAGGGGTGTCCTTGTGATGGGAAGCCATAGATGGAACACCACTGGTTTAGTTTGGTTTTCTGCCCCGTTGACCAGGGAAACCCATCTATTTTACCAAGAAGGTCACCTATGGCTGGGCTGAAATCAGGCAACTCCTAGGTGTTAACCAGTGACCTCCTTTTTCCAGGCCCTTTGGGTTGGGATTGTCCCCATGGGATCTACGTGCAAGCTTCGCATGAATGCCACTTCTACAAGATATGCACCAGAGAGGAGCGAACGTGGTTGAGGCAATTCTAGGTACGTCCCTTCTGTGAGTGGTAGGGCAAGCGCTACTTAGGAAAGACTTACCTGGGGCTATTCACTTCTCTGGCTGCCAGTCATCTTGCGATGCTGGAGAGAATCTTTGGGCACGAGGAATTGACAAGGAGAACAGCTGCTTTCCATTTTAAGTTGAAGGGGCATCAGATAAAGTTCCCCTGGCGAGAGATTTGGGGGACATGAAAACATCCTCCCTTGCACTTCACTTTTCGGGTTTGGACCACAGACACACACGGAATTTGGGTATGGGCCAAAATGAATCCAGGGGACCGGTTTTAGTCCTTGGTTCCAGATAGGGATCCATGGAGTTACCCGATTTTTGACCCATGGCCATTTGGTTTGTGTTTGGCCAAACGCGATCGGAAGTGAGGCATGCAAATCAGCCTCCCCTTCTTTGCTGCTTTGGATTGCTTCTATCAACAGCCAAGGTTTCAATTCCCGCAAACGACACGATTGCCGGCCCTCAACCCTCTCACCCTCTAAAGGGTGGATCCCCGAAGTCTTGCAACCACATCCAGGGGAATTGCGGAGTCGCTTGCAGGGTTTTGCTTGTTTTTGGTACTTGCAAGAATTTGGGATACTTGGGTGACCAGCAAGCAGTCGGAGTTTGCAGTCGGACCACACAGCTCCTTTCCACGAGGAAAGTAGTCTTTCTACAGGGGTCCGGGCACAAACCCATGTTAGCCGGGAGGGTAAGCCCATGTCCCAAGAAAGACGGCAAGACTGAAGCCCATGTCCCTTTGGATCTGAAGAGGGCCCATGCCGAAGCAACCAGCCGAGGAGCAGCCGAGGCTATGGCAGGCGCGGGCGCTGGCGAGTTGGGCTTCCATTTGCCTTTCAGGTCGCTTCCAAGTTCCTGGACTCAGACTTCAGCTTCAGTGACTGTTTGGGTTTGGTTGCCTAGCTCCCCCAGTGCCCTTCTCTCCCCTTTTTTGTGGGAGGGTTCCCCTACTAAAATAGATTTCAGAAAACAATTCGGTACCCTTATTCTAACCTCTCAAATCTGGAGGACCTAGAAGAGCCTCTCAGGAAGTGAGATTATCTTTCATTTTTCCGTATTGGTTTTCGAGAGGCTGGAAAGGGGCACCAAGATGAGGTTTGTTTAAACGATAGATGTCTAAACATGCTGAACGCGGGTTGGCTTGACCCACCTTGCTTTAGCCTTTTTGATTTTAATTGAGCCCACTGATTTGGAACAAAAGGAGCTCGAGTTTACCATTGCCAAACTTGACTGGCCTTTTCTTGGCCTAATGCCCCCCAGCCGCCCCCTTAGGTTTGTAGCTTTTCAAGTGTCCTTTCAACCCACCAAAAGTTAAACTTCTGCAGGGAATCTGAAAACGGACAGCCCAGATTGTTGTCGTCTTTTGCAGGTCGGATCGCTTTGGTACAGTTTGGGAGACACAAATGTGAATAACTTTGAAGTTAGCCCAGTCAATATTTTGGAGGCTCCCCCTTTGGGTAGATTGTTCCAATAGGGAGCAAGGGAAGCTTACCAGTTTTCAGACAAGCAAACACAGTGACACAGCTTTACAGGAGGGTCACTGGAATGAACCTTCAGCCCTTACCGTTTCCTATTTTTGCTTTTGTTTTTCCATTCGACCCCCCTTTTTGCCGCTGTGCGTCCAAGTTGGGCTTCCTTTGGTGCCGACCTCCAGGTTTTTGGGTTTCGAGGGAACCAGGACAGCCGCCATCTTGGGGCCCGCTCTCGGTCCGCAAATTCGGAATTCGGCAGTCGAGCTCGATGGACATTTCTGCAACGTCGCGCCAAGCCGGGTATAGTATACCTCTAGATGGGTGTGGCTCAAAATTTGAGAGCTAGGGTTCCATTTAGTCTTTGGTTCCATTTACCAAGGTGCCATTGTAGTACATGTTTTTGAGCCGCAGCCAGATAAGTGTGTGTGTGTGTGTGCGCGTGTCTCTCTGTTTGTGTCTATGTGTGTTTCAAAGGTTCGTTCGTCCGATCCCCATTGTCACCTGCCCTGCTTGGATCTCATGAACCAACTAGGATCTGAACATATCGCATTTTCCGTGTACCAGTATTTTGCCCCAACAGCTGAAAGCTAGTGGGGTCTCTGCCCAGATAGGCTCCATCAGGGGTGGTTTTTCCGGACATTTGGTTCCAGTGGGTTCCGGGGCTGTTGGGGGTACCACGTATTTCTTTTTTATTCTGTTTATTTTTTTGGATGGGCGTGTTTGTGTAACCAGTACTTGGTCCGCAAGGGGAGGCTTTTGGGTTTTTAGGGTTGGTGGGGGGTTTTCGTCTAATCCACTAAAAGTTACACTTTTAGCAGGGAATCCGAGGACAGCCCAGCGTGTTGCATTCCATTGGCAGTTTCCACTGGTTCACTGTGGGTGGACAAAATCCAGCAACACGTTGAACCCATGGGAATCTCGGGGAAACTCTTACTTTGTTGCTATTCTAGCTCCCCAGTACAGGGTCACAAGATTTGACATTTTACATAAAGGAATCAAGGCCAAAGAATCAGTGCCCGGATTATGTCTTTCTCGCACTTGTTTAGACCTTATTCCGTCTCAACAACATAGACATCCAGTCTCTTGCCACGAGGCCGCGTTGGCATACTTTCCAGCACTACGTTGCCTAGTTGGAGGGCTTCAGGATTGCAACCCGCGTATTCGTGGCCAAGCACTATGGCTTACTCTCGCAATGACCTTCTTACTGGCAAGTCCCGCAATGCCCCCGAAAATGCAGCGCATCTCCTGGAATGTAGACATGGGTAGCTCTGTCTCGACACGCGCGCCAAGCATGCCTCCAACCTGGAGACTGCGTGGCCGCATCCGAACAATAGCGGCTGAGCAAAGCGCTGCAGGATCCAACCACCGAGGGTGCGCACGTTGATCATGGAAGGCATGCTAAACCACACGGCGAGACATAGTCACAGCCAAGCAACATCTGTTTGCTTGTGACGAAAGCAGCCGTAGCATTGTTTTTTTTGTTTGCCCTCCAGGCACACGAGGCGCCAAAAAGAGGTTCGAAGACTTGGCCTCTTCCCCGGCGCAGCTGGCAAGATGGCGGGTTGTCAAGTTAGCTCCGCGCCATTTGTCATTCTCGCACTTTGAGCATGGCTTTGCAAAATGATCGGCGTACTGCAGGCTGTCGCCGCAATGGCCAGGTTTGGGCAAGCGGCGGTGGTAGGCTGGCAGCAGTGCCCGCGTTGGCTGCGCGAAGGGCCTCACCATAGTCTCGCCTGGCAAGGAAGAAACAAGGCAAAAAGCCACCGTACTGCGTCGCCTAGGTGCACATGCAAACTGCTGTCTGTGGGGTGGGAAAAGGCGTATGGATCTGGAGGAAGACCGCGCATTGAACACAACAGGCGGGCGCGTGTGTAAACGTGTGTCAGAAGTGGGGGTTGGGCGAGAGGGGGCGGGCGAGAGCAAAGCCACCTATACTCGCGCGGGCGCTCAGCCAACCCACGAGAAACTGGATCTTCTGCACCAAGTTTGACTTGAATCACTAACCTGTCTGTGCTCCCATACCCATCACAAGTAGAGGAATGCCCTTGTGCAAGTGAACCCGTAACTCAGCAGTGGCCGCTGTCTTGTCTTCGACTTCTGGCCAAGCTTGCGCAGCCAAAGTCGTGGACTTTCCGTTTGCAAGCAGTGGCCTGCCACTTGTGTCCAGCTTGAGGCTGCTCACAAGGGAGGGTCCGGTCAAGTTGGTGGTGCAGATCTCTGACAGGCAGACGGAAAGCCTGGGTTAACCACGTGTGGGGGGGGAGGTTATCACAGCAACCTGCGATTTTTTTGGTCAAACGGGGGTCCCTTCTGGGGGACCCCCAAAAAACCAGTGTAGGGCCTACACTGGTTTTTTGGGGGTCCCCTGAAAGGGACCCCCACATGATTTCAGGTTGCAAAAGACGCGCAGATCAGCTGTAGGTCCCTTGGCAGGGGACCCCCAAAAAACCAGTGTAGGCCCTACACTGGTTTTTTGGGGGTCCCTTGCAAGAGACCCTCGATTGTCCGAAAAAATCAAAGGAGCCGCCAGGTGGCCGCGCCTGCGCTGTGGCTGTTTCTCTTTGCGCCGGTTGTTTCTGAGAACCAGAGGTGCGTTGCCAATCGCAACAAAACGGAGTGTGGCGCGAGCGTCTCGCATTTTCTGCTGCAACTCCGCGACTCAAGCCACGGGGAGCGAAGGCGCTACACGCCTCCGATGTGGCCGCGCACCGGCGGACCAGGCAAAACTTTTCGTAATCGTGCAACACAGTTTGAATTGACTGGGGTTCACGCCCAAGCTGGTCTGCAAGTGAATGTATCTCCGGCTGCGCTGCCCTTTGCCTCACTTGTGACACAAAATCCTACAAGCAAACAAACCACACTCGCTGCGCTTGTACGACGTTAAAGCAAGCAGAGGGTCATGTCTGCAGAATGAGCCGGAAGCTCTAAAGCACTGACACTTGAGAAATGGCCTGCGCCGTTTCCGAAAACAAACAAGGAGAACCACAGGAAAACAGCGTCCAAACCACAACTTCCCTGAAAGCAAAGCGAGCTGCGTCGCAATTGCCACGGGACACCTACGGTCCCCCTATTCTGCCAGGTCCTGCTTGACATCACTTCACGGGAAACACTTGTTGCGAAGTGACATTTCGTTTGGCAAGGCTTCTTTCAGCTTGTTGGATGCTAAGGTGGAGGCAGGCGCCCGGCGCCCCGGGCACCCGGCGCCCCAGGCGCCCGCCGCCCCGGGGCGCCCCCCGCCCGGGGCGCCCGGCGCCCACTCAAAAGATTTCTGCTCTGTTCAAATGGCTTTCAAACCCACGCTTGTGTTTGGGGCGCCAGGCAAAGGTCCACGTGACCTGACAAGCGTGCAAATGCAGGCACGACCCCCGCTTTTGGGAGATTCTTGGGTGTCTCCAAGCGTAGTTCTGCATCTACGTGGAAGCCAAGACACAGCTTTGCGCTGTCAGCCAGAACAAGCCTCAACTCCCGCCGCCTCCTGACTTTGTCCTGGTGACAAACTCCAGAGCGACACAAACAACTCAATGTCTTTGCCTCTCGGCATTCCGGGACTGCCTCGTCGCACAAGCAGCAATTAATGCTGGCCCTTCCTGCAACTGATTGACGCTGAGCGGGTGGAGTTACTGACTTGTTTGAAGACGCAGGTGAGAGCAAATTCGTTTAAATCAGTGCAAGCAAGGCACGTCATGGAAATACGTTCTGCCAGATGAATCTGGGATGCGCGCGGCAAAAAAAAGGGATCTGGCCCGCCCTTGATGGTTGGCCTTGTTTAATGTCAAACCTTGTGACCCTGCAGTAGTGCCCTTCTCTCCCCTTTTTTGGTTGGGAGGGTTCCTCTACTAAAATAGCGTACAGAAAGAAAATCGGGTACCCTTATTCTAACCTCTCAAATCTGGAGGACCTAGAATTTACAGGGCAATCGAACGGACCCTTCCAGGCGTTTCCTGGGTGGTGCGAAATTGGATTTCGCAGCCATCCACCGCAGAGTCACTCCAGGGCCGCGCGGCCAGCACGGGCCGACTGGCGCCGCTGGCGGAGCACGCGCGCACGCTAGGCGCCCGCGGTGACCGCGTGTTGACAGCGTGGGGACCGCTGGTGGGGTCGGGTCTTGCTGCTGGTAGTCTCCTTCCATTTGGTGAAATAATTAAATATTTGTTGATTTTCCCTTGCTGGTTTTAAGGGTCATGTTTGCTGCCACTAGCGCCGGGGTGTGTCTTCATGTCATCGCAAAAGTGCGAGCCAACCCTGAGCCCAGTGCATCCCCAAAGAACAGATTCCAATTTTGGTCAAAGCACACTTTCTCTTGGGTTTACTGGGATTTGTTTGTTGGCATTTTCCAGGGAATCATCAGAAACCAAGGCTTTCTTAGTTGGTGCAGGATTTTGTCCATCCACAGTTTAAGGGTTCCTGCGAAGGGAGCATCATGGCACAGGAGTCTGGACCATGGCTCTTGCCGGTGTTGATCCAGATCTCCGACCGACATGGGATGACCATTAGAGGAAAACCACGAATTGGCCATTTGGGTATGGGTCAAAATTAAGCCACCAGGATATGGACCGCAGATTGGAGTCCATGTTTCCATCTACCAGGGTCCATTTTGGGTACCTATTTTTGACCCACAGCCATTTGGGGGCTGAAGGGAGAATTTTGATCAACCCCCGTTTGCAGAACCCTGGTGAATGGAAACAAGGACTAAAATCCGCGATCTGGTTTGATTTTCTTGCTGGTGCTCAGTCAGGAATGTGGTTGAATGAACCCAGGCTTTGGTCCCCGAAAGATGTTTTATCTCGGGGTCATTCCATTTCTCAGGGACCCTGGCACCGATCGCAAGTTTTGAGCCATAATCATGTGGGTGTGGCTCAAAATTCAAGAGCTAGGGTTATGCAGGTTGTAGTCTTTGGTTCCATTTCCCAAGGGGGCCATTTGGGTACATGCTCTTTCTTTCTTGCCTTCTCTTTTATTTGCATATCAATCTCTCTATCCATGGTTGTTGTTGGGACACATTTCACATTTTTGCTTATGGTGGTTTATTGGTTGAAATCCAACCACTTAACTGCTAAAATTCGAATTGTTGCTCCCCTTCCAACGTCAACCAAGTTAAAGATGGAATTGGGGGAGGGGGCATTTCGACCCCGCAAAATCCGTTGATGGTTTCAGTTTCCCTTTTGTGGGGGAAGACTTGACAAATGAAATAGGGGCCCCTCACCCCCCACCCCCCTCAAGGGGGGGCTCACACCCACGTGCACCGGTGGAAGGCCCCGCCCCGGGCGCCGCTTCCGCCGCCTCCGCCGCGTCCGGCGGCCCGGGGCTCGCGGACCGCGAGGGCCGCGTGGAGCGCTTGGCGGTCCCGGAGCGGAAGCCGCGGAAGGAGAGCCGCCAGAGCCGCCGGGCAGCCCAGGGGCTGGGCTTGGGGTTGAGAGAAATGGTCATCCACCTGGAAAGGATCCTGAATTTCTCGGGGGAACAGGAATGGTCATCATCCATTATAGCGATTCTTACTTTGGATGGCCCAAGGACCGGACCAAGGAATTCCTTGGGGTGGGGATGGTCCTCCGTGGCGATTCCTATTGCGGCCTGCCCGGAACTTTTGGTTGAGGCTATTGATGCTTCCCCTTGGTACCTGTGCTCCCTTCTACAACGGCGAATGTTTGTAGAACCAACATTGACTTGCGAATGCGCTCGGATTGAATGGTTCCTATTAGGGGAAGCATGGCGATAGGCCATGTAAGGAGTTTTGACCGTGGCACAGTGGGCTCGTCTTTTTTGAGCGGTTGTCCTTTTGGTTTAAGAAGACTGAACTATGTTGGTTGAAAGTTGAAACATATCCGAACAAACTATTTTTGTTTTTTTTGGAGGTGTGGGTCTGGGTGTTCAAGCCAACATCCTGGGGGACAGGGATGTGGATGCGTGCCTTTTCTTGGAGGGCACTCTTTTTGACTTTGGTTCTGAAGGAGTAGCCAGACACCAGTTTTTGGGGTTGTTCTCTTTCGAGACAAGCATTTATGCTTTGGTGCATTTTGCTTGGATGCTAGGACTTTAACTTTTTGCCAACTAAGCTGGGGAGCAGAAAGCAAGCGAGTATGGGTAGGGATCAAAAATCCGCCAGGCAGCCCAGGGGGGGGGGGGGGGTGGCAGGGAAGAATGAGTCCTATGCGTCGCCGCGCGTTTTTTTGCATTTGAGCACCACTTCATGTTACATGCTCATGCACTCACACGCACACCAAAACTCTATTCCCACATGGTGCTACAGAGATAATATGCGCTTACCATGCACAAGGATACTGCTGAATAAATAGACACTTGGTTCAAACATGTGTGTTATTTTCTCGTGTGCATGTTTCAATTTCAATTTCATGACCAGCAAAAGAAATGCAAGCACGCAGCTAAGTAATATTGTCCGTGGCCTAACACAGGGCACAGGCGTGCAGCTAGGTTCGATGTCAGGAGACTGACAAAGGCCACAGGTGCACAACTAAGTCCTGTTTGCTAAGTATTCTACTTATCATCAGTCTTCGAATTCATTCTTATCATTCTTCCCAAAGGGACGGGTGACTTTTGGGGAATTCAAATATTGTTTGTTTTAATCATTTTATTTCTTAGACTTGCTCTAAGTATTCGAACCACTGCCAAAGGGACGGGTGCCTTTTTTGGAATTCAAGAGTCCTCTGCGCTAACTGTTCTACTTATCATCAGTCTTCCAATTGTAATTGTTATTCCCAAAGGGACGGTGCCTTTGGGGAATTCAAGATTGTTTTGCAAATTATACTACTTAGCAAACCTCTTGTAATTGTTTTTGTCATGAGTTCCAAAGGGATGACTTTGGGGAATTCAATATTCATGTTTGCTGGTTGCTTTTGTAAACTATTCTACTTATCATTACTCTTCTAATGCATTCTTATCATTCTTCCCAAAGGGACACGTGACTTTTGGGGAATTCCAAATTCATGTTTGTTCTAATCAGTTCATTTCTTAGACTTTCTCTAAGTATTCGAACCACTGCGAAAGGGACGGGTGCCTTTTTGGGAATTCAAGAGTCCTCTGTGCTAATTGTTCTACTTATCATCAGTCTTGAAATTATAATTGTTTTTCCCAAAGGGACGGGTGCCTTTGGGGAATTGCAGATTGGTTTTGCAAATTATACTACTTAGCATACCTCTTCCAACTAGTTTTCTCATGAGTTCCAAAGTGATGACTTTGGGGAATTCAATATTCATGTTTGCTGGTCGTTGTTGAAAATTATTCTACTTATCATAACTCTTCTAATTCATTCTTACCATTCTGCCCAAAGGGACGGGTGACTTTTGGGGAATTCAAATATTGTTTGTTCTAATCAGTTCATTTCTTAGACTTGCTCTAAGTATTCGAACCACTGCGACAGGGACGGGTGCCTTTTTGGGAATTCAAGAGTCCTCTGTGCTAATTGTTCTACTTATCATCAGTCTTCTAATTATAATTGTTTTTCCCAAAGGGGCGGGCGCCTTTGGGGAATTGCAGATTGGTTTTGCAAATTATACTACTTAGCATACCTCTTCCAACTAGTTTTCTCATGAGTTCCAAAGTGATGACTTTGGGGAATTCAATATTCATGTTTGCTGGTCGTTATTGACAATTATTCTACTTATCATAACTCTTCTAATTCATTCTTACCATTCTTCCCAAAGGGACGGGTGACTTTTGGGGAATTCAAATATTGATTGTTTTAATCATTTTATTTCTTAGACTTGCTCTAACTATTCGAACCACTGCCAAAGGGACGGGTGCCTTTTTTGGAATTCAAGAGTCCTCTGTGCTATCTGTTCTACTTATCATCAGTCTTCCAATTGTAATTGTTATTCCCAAAGGGACGGTGCCTTTGGGGAATTGAAGATTGTTTTTGCAAATTATACTACTTAGCATGCATCTTCTATCTTTTCTTCATGAGTTCCAAAGTGGGACGGGTGACTTGGGAAATTCAGTATTCATGTTTGCTGGTTGTTTTTGTAGATTATTCTACTTATCACTCCTCTTCTAATTCATTCTTATCACTCTTCCCCAGGGGGGGATTCAAAATTCTCTTTTGTTCTAATCATTTTTTCTTAGACTTGCTCTAAGTCTTCGAACCACTGGCAAAGGGACGGGTGCCTGCTTTGTTATTCCCAAAGGGACGGGTTCCTTTGGGAATTGAAGATTGGTTTTGCAAATTATACTACTTAGCATACCTCTTCCAACTAGTTTTCTCATGAGTTCCAAAGGGGTGACTTTGGGGAATTCAATATTCATGTTTGCTGGTTGTTTTTGTAAATTGTTTGTTCTAATCATGTATTTCTTAGACTTGCTCTAAGTCTTCGAACCACTCCCAAAGGGACGGGTGCCTTTTTGGGAATTCAAGAGCCCTCTGTGCTAACTGTTCTACTTAACATCAGGCTTCCAATTATAATTGTTATTCCCAAAGGGACAGGCGCCTTTGGGGAATTGAAGATTGTGTTTGCAAATTATACTACTTAGCATACCTCTTCCAACTAGTTTTCTCATGAGTTCCAAAGGGATGACTTTGGGGAATTCAATATTCATGTTTGCTGGTTGTTTTTGCATTCTACATATCATTACTCTTCTAATTCATTCTTATCATTCTGCCCAAAGGGACGGGTGACTTTTGGGGAATCCAAATATTGTTTGTTCTATTGATTGTATTTCGTAGACTTGCCCTAAGTATTCGAACCACTCGGGTGCCTTTTTGGGAATTCAAGAGTCCTCTGTGCTAATTGCTGTACTTCTCATCAGTGTTCTAATTATAGTTGTGACCTCTTCCAACTAGTTTTTCTCATGAGTTCCAAAGGGATGACTTTGGGGAATTCAACATTCATGTTTGCTGGTTGTTTTTGTAAATTATTCTACTTATCATAACTCTTCTAATTCATTCTCATCATTCTTCCCACAGGGACGGGTGACTTTTGGGGAAGTCCAATTATTGTTTGTTCTATTCATTTTATTTCTTAGACTTGCTCTAAGTATTCGAACCACTCCCAAAGGGACGGGTGCCTTTTCGGGAATTCAAGAGTCCTCTGTGCTAACTGTTCTACTTAACATCAGTCTTCTAGCTATAATTGCTATTCCCAAAGGGACGGGTGCCTTTGAAATTGAAGATTGTGTTTGCAAACTATTCTACTTAGCATACCTCTTCTAAGTATTTTTCTCATGATATGCAAAGGGACGGGTGACTTTTGGAAGTCAAAATATTGTTTGTTCCAATCATTCCTTAGACTTGCTCTAAGTATTCGAACCACTCCCAAGGGGACGGGCGCCTTTTTGGGAATTCAAGAGTCCTCTGTGCTAATTGTTCTACTTATCATCAGTCTTCTAACTATAATTGTTATTCCCAAAGGGACGGGGGCCTTTGGGGAATTGAAGATTGGTTTTTGCAAATTATACTACTTAGCATACCTCTTCTAACTAGTTTTCTCATGAGTTCCAACGGGACGGGTGCCTTCTGGGGAACTCAAGAGTCCTGATTGCTAATTGTTCTACTTATCATCAGTCTCTAAGTGCACTTGTTTTCCCAAAGGGACGGGTGCCTCTCGGGATGGAATATTCATGTTTGCTAACTACTCTGCTTATCATAACTCTTCTAGTTCTTCTCCCAAGGGACGGGTCACTCTTGGGGAAGTCCAAATCAATTGTTGTTCTAAACATTGTGTGTCTTATACTTGTTCTCAGTGTTCGAACCACTGCCAAAGGGGCGGGTGCCTTTTTGGGAATTCAAGAGTCCTGTTTGCTAATTTTCATCAGTCTTCTAATCATAATTGTTATTCCCAGAGGGACGGGTGCCTTTGGGGAATTGAAGATTGTTTTTGCAAATTATACTACTTAGCACACCTCTTCTAAGTATTCTCTCATGAGTTCCAAAGGGATGACTTGGGGGAATTCAATATTCATGTTTGCTGGTTGTTTTGTAAATTATTCTACTTATCATAACTCTTCTAGTTCGTTCTTATCATTCTTCCCAAAGGGACGGGTGTCTTTTGGGAAGTCAATTTTCTAATCATTTTATTTCTTAGACTTGCTCTAAGTATTCCAACCACTGCCAAAGAGGCGGGTGGCTTGTTGGGAATTCAAGAGTCCTCTGTGCTAATTGTTCTACTTATCATCAGTCTTCTAAATATAATTGTTTTTCCTGAAGGGGCGGGTGCCTTTGTGGAATTGAAGATGGCTGTTGTGCAAATTATACTACTTAGCATACTTCTTCTAATTAGGTTTCTCTTTATTTTGAACTGGGCGGGTGACTGTTACATTGGTGGAATTCCAAATTTATGTTTGCGCTAATCATTGTGTGTCTTATAATTGCTCTAAGTATTCGATCGACCCCCAAAGGGACGGGTGCCGTTTGGGGAATTCAAAAGTCCTGTGT